TGGGTGGGCTGGCTCACTGAGGCCTGGGAGCTGGAGCCAGGCTGGAGCCTCCCATCCACCTCTGGCTGCCCTAAGGAGGTGGCTGTGGTCCTCACTCAGCTATTCTCAGCCTATCCGGGGTCTGGGGACTTCCTGGGTGACTCTGCAAGGCCAGATCTGATGTAGGGCTCAGAATGGCAGCTTCATCACCCGTCAGTGAAACCTGTCCTCCTATGCCCTGCTCACCGCAGATCCAGTGAGGTAACTGACCAGACCCAGGTCCTCAAAGGCCCCGTGCTTTCTCAGGGCCCACCCCTCTGCCTTGAAGGACTTGCCACCTCTTGTTTTTGCCATGCATCCTAAGGCAGCCGTGAAAGTCACTCACGATAGAGTTAGGGCCCTGGATAGTGTTGCTCAGTGGTTAGAGTGCCATCCTGTGCACTGGGTGGGGGTGTCCTGAGTTTGATTCCCAGTTAGGGGCACGTACCTGGGTTGAGGGTTGGATCCCCAGTCAGGGCACGTGCGGGAGGCAACCGGTCGTTGTTTCTTTCTCACATTGGTGCTTCTCTTTCCTTCCCTCCCTCTCTCCACCCCCTAACTAGAGTCTAGAATCAATGTAAACATACCCTTGGTGAGGACTGGAAAAAGAGAGAGACAGCTAGGGTGCAGGGTCCTGTCTCTCCGGACCCCTCCTGTGAGGGGCCTCCCGTGTCACACAGCCTCTGCTCACTCTCCTGTGATGCCCCGTTTGGCTGCAGCGGGGAGTTCAAACTACATTTCAATCGGGCGCATGTGCCCATTTCCAGAGCAGGTGCTCCGCCAGGTTTCCTGGGAGGAGGCAGCGCCGCCTAACATGAGAGGAGGGGTGCGGAGGGGGAGGTGCTGGGTGAGACGGGCAGAGGGGGGTGGAGGGCGAGGGAAGGAGGATCCTCACTGCGAGGATGCGTGAAGGGGCACCTCCTCCTCCTGTTGCAGTGGGAACAACAGATGTTTCTTGGACTCTCTTCTTCCCACAGGAGAGCAGCCAGGCCACACCCTCGCGACTGCCCATTCGCAGCCAGGAGCCCCTAGGGTCCCCACGCGGGTGAGTATTGAGCCCAGTGCCCAGATGGCAGGGAGCAGGGACCCCCAGAGCCACGGTGGCTTTAGTCACGAGGCTGACGAAGGGCTCTTCTCTGGGACTTCCCGCGCAAGTCCGCTGACAGCGTCTGTGTCCAGCACGTTCTGCGCCGACAGGACCCCAACCCCTGCAGCCTCCCCGAGCCCCTCTCCCCCAGTTCAGTGACTCAGGTCAGGGTGGCTCTGGACCTACTCTCCTCCTGTTCCGTCCCCAGCTCTGCCACTTGGCAAGCCTCTGACCCTCTCCATCTGGGTCCTCATCTGTGAAATGGGGTTGATGATAAAAGGAGCTGCACCTCAGAAATGAGGGTTAAATGAGCGAATCTGAGTGAAGTACTTAGCAGCTAAGCTCATAGGAAGAGCTGTGTATCAGCTCATATGGCACACGCTCAGAAAATCCATTCCTAGATGACGCTCCTCATGAGACAAGTGCAAATTTAGACGGCAAACAGGACACACTGCTCCAGAGGAGGCAGAGAGGAAGGTGGCCAACAGCCCGTGCTGGGAGGGGTGCCTGGGAAGGAGGCTGAGGTGACAATATCCATGACAATGGCACACTCTCTGACTTAGCAATTCTGCTTGGGAATTTAAACTCACACATGTGTGAAATGACGTCCTATACAAGGATGCGACTGCAGCATTGTAATAGCCGAAGATTGGAGACAAGTAAATGTCCATTAATGCGATTAACTAAATGATGGTGCAGCTCAGCCATTGAGCCCAGCTATGAAAGAAAGGAGCAGGGTCCCGTGCTTGGTAGATGTAGATGAAGGAAGCAAGGTGCAGAAGAGAACATGGAATGCCACCATTTGTGTTAAATGTATTTTTATTCGCCTGAAAGCAGGTAGGACTATCTGAAAGGATGTTGCAGTCATGGCACGGGTTGTTTCTGAAGGAGGGGCACTGGGTGGCCAGGGGACACGGCTGGCGGAGACTTCCACACTGGCCTCCCTTATGTTCCTTCCGAAGTTGATGCCAAGGGCATGTGCTACCTATCGACAGGAAGGTGACTGGAGGGAAGCTTGCCATTTCCACGCGCAGATAGCGAAGGCCCACCGCTGCGGTACCAGCCACTTCCCGTGTGTACCAAGGAGCAAGACAGATTGAAAAATGTGGCTCTGCTTCTACCTCTCCTGTAGGGTAAGCAAATCTAATCAAGGGGTGTTTGCCTTTAGGGAAGCGAGGCTCGTCTCCCTGTTGACACTAAATTGACGCTGTTGGTCATGGCAGAAGGTGCCACCTGGGTGCTGTGCTGCTGTGGGGGTGACTGAGGGATGCCTCCGAGCTTCCCTGACAATGCACTTCGCTCAGATAAAGAAGGATGCAGCCTGCATGCAAATCTCTCTCAATTAGACATGCCCCTCTTGTCGCCGCTGAATTCAGGCGTTCGGACTAGCACAAACGGGGGAGCAGGCTGCCAAGGAAGAGGAAAATGCAATCCTCATTTCCCCCATGAGGAATTCTGGATGCACTGCCTTGCACCACTCGGCTGTGGACACAAGGATGGATGGACATGAAGTGGAGAGCTTGGGACCCCAAGAACGGCCGACACAGAAGTCAAGTTCAGAACCACAAGGTGAGGGTGGCCTTGACTGGAGGCTGACAGTGTCTTGGTGGGCGCCAGGGGTGGGCTACACCCTGCAGCCTGTAGGTTAGCAATGAGGATCCTTACCTTGGTCTTAAAAACTCCTCTTTGCCATGAGTGTGGGGTTATTAAAGTTAGAAAGCAGAGGTTGAAGACTTCCCCACATCCTTTCTCCTTGGTCCCCCTGGAACTGGAATCTCTTCTGAATCCTAAGGGATTATACCTCAGGTTCCCCCCAAGCCCTCCTGCCACAAAACCAGTGGAAAGGCGGGACCACTTCCTCAACTGCAAAGTGAGGTGTGAGTTCCAACTTCCTCTTAGCAGAGGGACTTTTTGGTCAAACAAAATCTTAGCAGGCACCTGATATACGAAGCAGGGCAAGATGGAGCCATGCAGGCAGAGTGGCCGGAGCCCCACCTGCCTCTCGTCCAGGCGGCTCTGACGCACTAGGGAGCAGGGAGCCGGTGGAGCAGCTGGACACAGCTCTGGATGGAGTCAGGTGTCCGCAGTTGCCTCCAGGGACAGGGGGGCCTAGGGGGTAGGGCCTGAGGGGAGACTCCTCACTGTGTAACTTTTGTTAAATTCTGAACTTCGGTACTAGGTAGAAGCATTACCTGGTTAAAAACAAATAACATTTAAAAAGAAAATAAAGCTCAAGGACTGATGATTTCTAAAGTACTAACCTTAGTTCAAAAAGTCCACGATTCTATAGGTTACCTCTAGACATGCCTTATTCTGCGTGCATTCATTAACCACTATCCACAGTGAAGAGCCTGAGGCGCGCGTGGCAGCCAGTGCCCTGTGATCGTCTTCCGGATGGGGCAGCTAGTGGGGGGAGCGGGGGTTGGGGGGGTGGGGGGAGGGCTGTGGAGTCAGACAGAGTTCGCTCGCTCTGCACGTAGGTTCTGCCGTTTATCGGCATAGGGCCTTGCACAAGCTCCTTACCCTCTGAGACCTCAGTCTCGGCTTCAGTAAATTGGGGATAATAATGCAAGCAGGGCTGTTATGCAGGTTAGAAAGAATAGATGGAAAGCAAGTAGCACATAGCAGGTGTTCAATACATAGTAGCTATTACAGTTACAAGAAAGTGAAATAAAAAAAAAATAACTAAATCCAAAATGTGACTGTATGGCAATTCTGATTCTGTAATGGGCCTGGAACGCACTCCCGCCACCTCCTGCTGGAACGCATACCTCGAGGCTGACGGGCGCACTGTCCATCTTCCCGCCAGGCTCAACACGGGCACCAGGAGGGCAAGGTCTGTCAGACTCACTGTTCCATCACCAGCCCCATGCTGGGCACGATGCTGGTGCCACCTCATTCAGACTGCTCTCAGGTGGCTGCCTGGGGCCCTGTCCCTCGGGTTCACGGAGAAGCGAGAGCTGTGGTATCAGCCATGGGCACAGCGCAGGCTGTGTGGCATCCCTCACAGCCTATTTGCTGACCCTGGGCCAAATATTTCATTTTAATGAAATGCAGCTTTTCTTCCACCTCCTCAGGATTAAAGCATCCTAAAGGGCTGTGGACTTGTGTGAAGAAGACCGACTCCCTCATAACCCCTCAAATGGGTGAAATCCCAATTCTTTTGAAGCCACAGGTGTGAAAGAGGACAAAGTAATCACCATTTATAATGCACCTATTGTGTGCTCATCAATGCCTGGCATGCTTAGAGGAGGATCTCACCCTCACAAGCATCAGTGGGTATTATTGCCCCCACTCTGCAGATGAAGGAAGTGGACTCAGGAAGATAACGTCACAAACTGCTGCAGCTGGTAAATGGCGCAGCTGGGATTTGGACCCCCGGCCTGTCTACTCTAAATCGTGGCTCTTATCCTGATGCAGGGAGCCACCTAGGAGCTTAAAACAATACGCCTGGGCCACCCTGAGATTCTGATTTCATCATTTGGGGCGGGACCCAACACTGATGTATTTTTTAGTCCCCGCCTCCCGGAGTGATGCCGATGTGTGGTTGGTCGCGGTCGGGCTCGGAGGCTGCGCTCTCTGGCTGGCCTCACATGCCGCAAAAGCCTCCCCGGGGTGCTTCCGCATGAGACCTGGTCCTCACGTGACACATCCAGACTGTCAGGGCAAAGCCCCAGGGAGGTCACTCGTCCATGCCTCCCTCTTCCTCCCCTTCCCAGTTACAGCCGCACCATAGACAACCACCAGGGTGGCCACCCTGACCTGAGCCTCAGGGGCCTCACCGGCAGAGTGAGGCCAACCACCCACCTCCTCAGCGTGTCCGTGGCAGCCGCTGTGGAAGTGCGGGTGGACGTTAGAGGGTACTGCTTCGCTACAAAGAATGTCAGCCCAGGAATAAAAAACCACTAGTTTAATTTGTCGGAAAGTCACATTGAGCCAAGTAAAAACTGGGAGGAAGGCCCAGACAGCGTCCATGCACCAGGGCGGGCCCTAGAAGTTGTCCAGCAGGCCCAGGATGCGCTTCTGCTCGCTCTCCCGGAACTCTGGGCTCCGGCCATCCCCGATGTTCTCCGCGTACTCTGGGGAGACAAGCACAGGTGCAGGTTAGGCGTGAATTTGCCGCGTGGGGTCCATCCTGCTGGGTCACTCCACTCCCTTCCGGAGCCCCAGCTCCCACGGAGGTGCACGCTGTTCTAAAGCCTCCAACAGCCCCCAAGGTGGCAGCTGTGCCAAATGCCTTGGTCTTGCATCCTCGGAGAAAAGGGCCACACCCTGTCCTCTCAGCACACATGCAGTGCTGCTGCGGCAGGCACTGTTCAGGCCAGTGGTTCTCAGAGGGGGACCCTGACTGGCAGCATCAGCATCACACAGGAACTTGTCAGAAATGCAAGTTGGGGCCCAACCTAGACCTCCTTATTAGGAAACTCGGAGGATGGCCAGTAGTCTGTCTGAACGAGGCTTTGGGAAATGCTGGGGCAGCTCAAGTCTGAGGGTGGCTGTCAGAGGCCTCACGGAGGCGGGGAGAAGGCCCGAAGGCACTGTGTGAGGGGACATGTGGGAGTGAGTAGCCGAGGGACAACCAGTGCAGGGGCTCTGACGGGGAGCGTGCTCGGTCCGTCTGATGAGGGTGAGCAAGGAGGTCAGGGGAGGAGCCGGACACAGATCCTGTGGGGCCTGTAGCCACTGTAAGGGCTTCTCTACAGGCCTGCCTTCTGGGTCACCCTCTCCTGTCGTCTCTCCCACTAGGCTGGTGCTTCCTGAAGGTGGGGCTCTGCTCCCTTTTAGCTAAATTCCCAGCGGAGCCTGGCTGAGAGCCAACTGTGGGTCTGGTGTGGCGAGGAAACAGAGCAGCTGATTAGGAGGACTGCTTTCATAGCTGCCCTGCTCCCCATTCCAGCAGAGATGAGCTAGAACAATAGAGCCCGCTCTTTAAGAGGCTTTTGCATAATAAAACATCTGCAGATCCCAATCAGACAAAGACCTGGGAGAGCAGAGGGAGCGTGCACCCCTCCCTCTCCCCTCCTGCCCCCACCGGGTGGGGAAATAATCTTGCTCCTGCCACTTGTCCATTTCCCTCCTTCCTCTTTATTACTTTGGACATATGCTGGAAAACGGGGTTTGGGATTCAGGCATGTGCCAGCTGTGTGTCTCCCCCCGGAAATCATTCTCTTCTGTTGGGCCCATCCATCACCTCTAACAGCAAATGGTTGTGATGCCTTCTATTCAGGCCCCTTAAGGAGAGGGCGGGTGATGGGGAGCAGGAACTGGGCTGCGAGAGCAGGCTACGGGGCTGTGTGAGTGGTATCTCTTACTCACATGTGAGTGATCTAACTGCTGCCCCAGGAGAAAGAGAAATGACCATTACAGCATTTAATGCCCCCAGAGGCATGATCTGGAAGCAAGAGGCTTAATGGACTGAGCTAACACTTTGCTCTCCTAATGTACTCGCAGACCCGGAGGGAGGGAAGCGGAGAAACAGTCTTATCCTTTGGGGCAGTGATTTTCCAAGTGAAGCCAGCTTCCCTGGAGGGGCCTAATCTCTTTCCAGGGGTGCACACAGCAGAGGCAGCACAAGTGTGCAACCCCAGCTGAACCACCTCTGCCGAGGCGTTGGGAAAGCAGGAGCCGCTTCTGCACACAGAGTTCCTCCCCAAGCCCCCTGGGGTAAGTCTCCCGCTCCACCTGCCCTGGGAGGGAGTAACAAGAGTCAGACCACCTGTCCTGTGAAAGGGGCTGTGGAGGGAGGCAGTGCAGTGAGGAAGGGGGCTGTGGAGGGAGGCAGTGAGGTGAGGAAGGGGGCTGTGGAGGGAGGCAGTGAGGTGAGGAAGGGGGCTGTGGAGGGAGGCAGTGCAGTGAAGAAGGCGGGCTGTGGAGGGAGGCAGTGAGGTGAGGAAGGGGGCTGTGGAGGGAGGCAGTGCAGTGTGAAGGGGGCTGTGGAGGGAGGCAGTGAGGTGAGGAAGGGGGCTGTGGAGGGAGGCAGTGAGGTGAGGAAGGGGGCTGTGGAGGGAGGCAGTGCAGTGTGAAGGGGGCTGTGGAGGGAGGCAGTGAGGTGAGGAAGGGGGCTGTGGAGGGAGGCAGTGAGGTGAGGAAGGGGGCTGTGGAGGGAGGCAGTGAGGTGAGGAAGGGGGCTGTGGAGGGAGGCAGTGAGGTGAGGAAGGGGGCTGTGGAGGGAGGCAGTGCAGTGAGGAAGGGGGCTGTGGAGGGAGGCAGTGAGGTGAGGAAGGAGGCTGTGGAGGGAGGCAGTGAGGTGAGGAAGGGGGCTGTGGAGGGAGGCAGTGCGGTGAGGAAGGGGGCTGTGGAGGGAGGCAGTGAGGTGAGGAAGGAGGCTGTGGAGGGAGGCAGTGAGGTGAGGAAGGGGGCTGTGGAGGGAGGCAGTGCAGTGAGGAAGGGGGCTGTGGAGGGAGGCAGTGAGGTGAGGAAGGGGGCTGTGGAGGGAGGCAGTGAGGTGAGGAAGGGGGCTGTGGAGGGAGGCAGTGCAGTGTGAAGGGGGGCTGTGGAGGGAGGCAGTGAGGTGAGGAAGGGGGCTGTGGAGGGAGGCAGTGAGGTGAGGAAGGGGGCTGTGGAGGGAGGCAGTGCAGTGAGGAAGGGGGCTGTGGAGGGAGGCAGTGAGGTGAGGAAGGAGGCTGTGGAGGGAGGCAGTGAGGTGAGGAAGGGGGCTGTGGAGGGAGGCAGTGCAGTGTGAAGGGGGGCTGTGGAGGGAGGCAGTGAGGTGAGGAAGGGGGCTGTGGAGGGAGGCAGTGCAGTGTGAAGGGGGCTGTGGAGGGAGGCAGTGAGGTGAGGAAGGGGGCTGTGGAGGGAGGCAGTGCGGTGAGAAAGGGGGCTGTGGAGGGAGGCAGTGAGGTGAGGAAGGGGGCTGTGGAGGGAGGCAGTGAGGTGAGGAAGGGGGCTGTGGAGGGAGGCAGTGAGGTGAGAAAGGGGGCTGTGGAGGGAGGCAGTGAGGTGAGGAAGGGGGCTGTGGAGGGAGGCAGTGCAGTGTGAAGGGGGCTGTGGAGGGAGGCAGTGAGGTGAGGAAGGGGGCTGTAGAGGGAGCAGTGAGGTGAGGAAGGGGGCTGTGGAGGGAGGCAGTGAGGTGAGGAAGGGGGCTGTGGAGGGAGGCAGTGAGGTGAGGAAGGGGGCTGTGGAGGGAGGCAGTGAGGTGAGGAAGGGGGCTGTGGAGGGAGGCAGTGAGGTGAGGAAGGGGGCTGTGGAGGGAGGCAGTGAGGTGAGGAAGGGGGTTGTGGAGGGAGGCAGTGAGGTGAGGAAGGGGGCTGTGGAGGGAGGCAGTGAGGTGAGGAAGGGGGCTGTGGAGGGAGGCAGTGAGGTGAGGAAGGGGGCTGTGGAGGGAGGCAGTGAGGTGAGGAAGGGGGCTGTGGAGGGAGGCAGTGAGGTGAGGAAGGGGGCTGTGGAGGGAGGCAGTGAGGTGAGGAAGGGGGTTGTGGAGGGAGGCAGTGAGGTGAGGAAGGGGGCTGTGGAGGGAGTGCAGTGAGGAAGGGGGCTGTGGAGGGAGGCAGTGAGGTGAGGAAGGGGGGCTGTGGAGGGAGGCAGTGAGGTGAGGAAGGGGGCTGTGGAGGGAGGCAGTGAGGTGAGGAAGGGGGCTGTGGAGGGAGGCAGTGAGGTGAGGAAGGGGGCTGTGGAGGGAGGCAGTGAGGTGAGGAAGGGGGCTGTGGAGGGAGGCAGTGAGGTGAGGAAGGGGGCTGTGGAGGGAGGCAGTGAGGTGAGGAAGGGGGCTGTGGAGGGAGGCAGTGAGGTGAGGAAGGGGGCTGTGGAGGGAGGCAGTGAGGTGAGGAAGGGGGCTGTGGAGGGAGGCAGTGAGGTGAGGAAGGGGGCTGTGGAGGGAGGCAGTGAGGTGAGGAAGGGGGCTGTGGAGGGAGGCAGTGAACACTGGGCTGTGCCAGGCATTTGTAGATGCTGTCTCATTTAATCTTTGCAGTAATCCCACAAGGCAAAAATGCCATCTCTGTTTACAGACGAGGAAACTGAGACTTACTGGCGCTAAAGCAATTTGCTCACGTCTAGAATGGTAGAGGAGTTGAAATTCAAACCCCAGAACATGTGTGAATAGTAAAGAGGCACGTGAAAGCCATCAGGGGTGAAGGTGGTCCCCCACCCCTAGCAGGGCTCTCAGAAATGTATGGCACCCTCCCCCTGTGTTGCTCCAATGCCCCTGGCAGCTGGCATCAACTGTGCACCTCACCTGCCCCTCACCCTCCACTCCTTACCCCTCCTCATTCTTTGTTTCCAGAGGAGAATCCTATTTGGAGCAAATTTTGGTGGTACCAGCTACCTCTGGTTATTATAGCTGCTGCAGCAGTTTATAAATATTGAACAGATTCCTCCCAGAGGTCTCACAAAAGAGTTCTCTTTGGTGTGTGTATGTGAGGGTGAGTGTGAGTGTGAGTATGAGTGTTTAAGAGAGGAAGAGAGAGCACAGGAAAAAAAGAGAAGGGAGAACCACAGGGCGTGGGGGTGGGGGAAGAGTGAGAGAGGACTGGGGAGAGAAGGGAGAGAGGAAGAGGATGAGTCGAGGACATATCAACTTCCTCCTGTTTCCCCAGCATTTTCAAATAATAAAGGCTTTGATGGAGCTGAAAAGCAGGAAGCAGTGCTGAACACATAAACATGAGAGCAAACTTCAGACAGCAGGCTTACCACTCCGACATGGAATATAAGCTGCTCTGTTTATGTTGAGAGGGAGAGGGAGGGGCGCCACGTCTGGTGGGTGGGGAAGAACTGTCTTCCAGGGCACAGACTGGGACCTGCGGTCAGGAGCCTGGTTCAGATCCCTGTCCTTAAACTGAAATGCTCACCCTTTAAAAAAATGCAGGAGGAAGGGGGGCTGGGGAGAGGAATGCCAATATTTCCACACTGAAAAGCCTTGAAGACATAGAAATAATAACAAAATAGAAACTGGGGAGGGAAAGTCCTTCAGATCCAACAGATTCCTAACGACCATGATGAACTGGGAAAGTCGAATGCACACCACTAACGTACCCCAAGTTACAGAGCGCATCTCACTCTACAGACCACTGGGTTGCTCAGATGCCAACCACAGTAAAGGCAACTGATGCCATCAAGCACTTACTATGCGCCAGCCATCATG